GAATTAAAATAATTAAATAAAGTTATTATTAATTGCTTAGTTTATAATAAATAATATTATAAATATATTAATAGGATAAGTATTATATTTTATTAATCTAGAAAGAATTCTAAAAATAAATTAAGAAAATATTAAATAAGAAGAAGTATTTAATAAAATAAATATCTAAGTAATATATATATAATTAATATATAGTAATTTATTAAAAGATGTTAAATAGATAGAAATAAGAATAAAGAGATATTATAATAAGAAGCGCAAGGATATGCTAGTACTTAAAAAGAAAGAAAGAGTTTATCTTTTATAATAAATACTAGGATTAAAAAGTTTTAATATTAAAAATATAAGATTAAATAATAAATTTAATATAATTAAATTTAGATTATTTATTATTAAAAAAAAACTTATAAATAATAATTATAAACTTTAATTACTAATAAGAATATAAATATATCTAATATTTTATATCTTATTATTAGAATTAATTACTAATCTAATAAATAAAGATAAAGTAATAAATAATAAAGAATATAAAGTTAAAAGAATATTATAGTATAAATTAGAAAAAGAATATATTTATTATCTTATAAGATGGAAAGAATATAAACCTAAAAAAAATATATAGAAATTTATTAAGCATTTAAATTATTTTAAGAAGATTTAAAAATAAAGATAAAAATATAATTAAAAAAAATAAAAGAATTAAAATTAATATTAAAAATAAGATTATTATTTTATAAAATAAAAATAATAATTAAAAACTCTTTAATCTTTTATTATTCTTTTACTTATTTTATTTTTATTTTTTTTTTTACTTTTTCTAATTTCTCCAACTCTTTAATATTTTTTATATTTTTTTAAAAGAATTCTCTAGCCTATTTCTTTAATAGTTTTTACTATTTCTATAAATAAAGAATCTTAATTAAAACTTATTTCTTTTCTTCTTAAAGACACTTTTAAGCCTTAAAAAGATATTTTTATACTATTTTAAATATAAGTATATTAATATAGTAATAATTATTTACATAAATATATTTATTATAATATTTAAAGAACTCTACTTTAATATAAGCCTTTTCTAGATTATTATATTAATTATATAGAAAATAATAGATAATATTAAATTATTCAATATATAAGAGAAGAGAATTCTTTAAAATTATTTTCTTTAAAAATATAATTAGTATAAAATTATAAGATTATATATTTAGAATATTTAAAAAATAAGAATTAATTATCTATACTTTAGAGAATATAAGCTATTTATTAAGCTATTAAGATACCAGTCTTTAAAGAAGAAGATTATTAGAGAATTAAAATATTATAATTAATAGATTAGATTAATCACTATAAGACTAATATATATTAGAATAAAAGATTATCTATAAAATCTTAAAGTTAGAGTATTAAAGAAATTAGAGGATTTCTATAATAATTATAATTTAAAATATTAAAAAAATTAAAAGATTTTTATAATAATTATAATTTATAGATCAAAGAAATTAGAGAATTTTTATAAAGATTATAATAAAGAAAAGCTATATAAGAATACTTATTTATTATATATTTAGTTTTCTTCTATTATCTTAAATTAACTATAATAACTTAAGTATATAATTTTTTAGTAATTAAGATATTTATAGCCTTATTCTATTTTCTTTCATCTACCAAGACCTTTCAATCTTAGAAGCCTATTAACTTCGCCCATTAATAGCTATCCTAGCTATACTCGACGGTAATCAAACCGAAGTTTCCGACATTAACACTTTTTAGTATTGTATAATAAGCCAGCAATAAGTTCGATATATTACCCGATTAGGATTAGCGACATGTTAATAAGCGAACTTGTATTTAACGATATTACATATACACAAATGTAATACTAGTGAAATACGCATTTGTCCTTAACGTACCTATAGGCTGCCGTAGTACCGTCGGCTAGCAGTGGGTTTGCCGCGTGGGTCTTGGTAAGCATGGATGGCATGGGTTTGATATGGATCACGTCGATGATGCTTTATCAACGCCCCCTTGTCCGTTTTCCCTATCGTAAATTTGCGATTTATGGGCAATAGTCAATGACATAATTGATTAGATATCTGAGCACCTCAAAGCATTGAATTACAATAGCATGAATGGACTACATCTTGCAGTCTATCGCGACTCTATATATCAATCAATTCCCATAAAGAATCTAGATCTCATTTTATATTTGAGAATACTGTTATCTAATATTGCGTATATTGTCAAAAACTTATATAGAAACAAAGATACCGTATAACGCCCAGCTTCAATCGGTAGTGTTTTAAGTATCAAAATGCCTAAAGTCAACGATCTATGAGCATCTACATATTGTCATCAATCCTGAAAATAAGAGGTTCCCAATGAATTCCCAGGTAAGTACACGCCAATAGTTCGCTTCATGTTCCATAGAATTCGGCTAATCGTATTTGCTAATCCTATGGGTTTTCCGAGAGCAGGCGGTTGGTGCCAGTGAGCCATTTGAATGACGTATAATATTCTGATCACGAGAAAAGTTCTGAGACATGGAAATAGACATTTTTTCAGCTGAGGGCAATGCCAGTCCCTTCAGTATGTGCTAATCTAGAGACATCTTGTGAACCAACATGGCTTGAGGAACGTGGAAGGATCGACCTAGCTGCTCGTCAATGGAGTGGTACCAGAGTTGCCTTGAAGACGCAAGACATCCCTAGTCAACGAGATATCAAGCCCCTATTTCCAAAACTGCCTGTTGTTATGTTGTCAACTCCAGCGTTCTTACCTTCAAGGCCCCCACTGTCAAGGGCATTGATATAAGTTAAAGTTGATTCATAACACAATACAGGCTGCAACATGTTGCGATGTTGTACACGCTGTGACAGGCTTCTCTTGAGGTACATTTAGGATGTGAATTCTGTAACTTACCTTGGATTAAGATCCGTCGAAAAAAAAAAGAAGGGTCGATAAATGGTGGTTAGTCAGAACCTTAATACTAACTTGTTCCTATCCCTGTGATATCGGGACTAACGAGGATCAGGCAGCCGAGTCGACTATAATAGCACTGCAGAACTTCAAATATAAGTTCTCTCCACTCTCTGAAACAGTTAATGGATTACTATATCCAGGTAATAGAAAAGCAATGGAAGACGTATAGTCTTATTTTGAAATCAGCCTGACCTCGAGATACATGACTGATATGTAGCCTAAGAACTTAGTTTGAGTGCTAAAAGCATTCAGATAAGAGCGACTGTACTTTAGCTAGGACTAGGGCGGGTATGTAGGATACTAGTGCGAGTTTCAGTGTAACTACCGAAGAGTAGGAGGTAGACATAACAAAGTTTCAATATCATTCGTGTTGCTGTGCTCCACTTTATTGCATAATTTCTGAATTAACAGCAGAACAAAGATCTAGCTTAAATGCAACCATATAGTCAGCAGGGGCCGTTTCCATCAGGTGTAAGGTACGGCATAGATTCTGAAAACGATATAGTTAGGCTATGCTCTCATAGGGATTGCTTCACTGGTAAATACTTTGTAGAAAATATTACATATTTGATCTTATTCACGATATTGTAGATGGCCCTTTCTGGAAAACGAATAGATAGCGTTATGTTCATATATAAACAGGCTGCATTATCTGAAAATTTGCTTGCTTATTGCGGTCTAGCAAGTCTGGGGGCGGAGAACGCGTGGTCATTCGTCCTGCCGTTACATCGGATACTCAGTTCTATTTCCGAGAGACCTTGAGAAATTACACGCGGCGTGCCCTGGAAAATCAAGCTAGTCATGAAGTTGGTTAGAAGGTCAAGGTTCTACCGTTCTACCGTCTCATCGCCACGCAAGCCAGGGTATAGCTAAGATTAAGAGTCCACCTAGGCTCAGATCAGACCATATGCGAAACAGATAAAACAAGTTAGGATTTATAAACTGAAATGAGCACCTTTTTTGCCGGGATGAATACCATTCGTATTCGTTAAGTTGGGTCCTTTGGTCGGGGCTGTTTTGCTGGTAGGAAGCAACATCCCTGTTATTCTTGGGTCATTATATCTCGACTGTCAGGTTGTATCAGTTATTTACATTGCCAGAATTCGTACATGTTATCTAACGCAAATTATATGTTACTTTTATTGGCCATGAGATTACAGGGCATGATCAATGACTCAAGAATTCAAGTGCTGATTGACTTTGCTCGGTGTTTTGTGGCGTCCCAAACGTTACATTTCAACACACGTACTGTAGCGAAAACAATCTGGGCATTTTGAGTCGGATATTCACCCTTGACTGCCATTTCATTCATGTTTGAGATTAAATCCGTTTCTCTTGATCTTTGGCCGAAGAAAAATCATCTGTCGTCGGCTCTTACGCACACCTAGCTTTCTCTAGCCTACCCTACCTGTTAGAAATCTACCATAGGATTTTAGACATGCAACCGAGCAGAGAGAGCTAGCTACGCTCACAGGGGATGAAAGCACCGATTTATTGATTAACGTAATTTGAACTAACGAATACAAACGCCACCCCCAAGTCTTGTCCTTCAGGAATCTTCTCGACAGCGTAGCACTGAAATTTAGGGCATCCTGTACCCGGGCCGTTCTATATTCTTGGTTCTTTTTCATTCGCCGATACAACGATCTTGAGTAATCTAACCCTTGTAAATACCGCTGTTCCTGACTAGCGAGCAGCGATATCGTCGCATTATATCCTTGAGTTTCGAGGAAATCCAAGGAGGCATATCACACATGATAGAACGTTACAACGTCTGACATGAAATTGTTACCTTGATCTCTTAGCGAGGCTTGATGCTGACGATGACAGTACGACTTCTGTAATAGATGCCATGTGAAGAGCTTGAGAAAGAAATATAAAAAGCCCGAAGATATCCTCTGTTGTCCAATATACAGCCAGACAGTGCATTCGATCCCTTCGCTACAGAATATCTGAAGTTCACTTTATTCTCTATCATTGGCAAATTCAAATCACAAATTTCCAACCAAGCATTCATCATGTACGGCGCAACTTTCCTCTCTTCGGCTGCTTTCCTAGCCCTCTTCTCGGGCTCTGCAGCCTTCTCTGATAGCTACACCTACTACACTGGTGATGGCTCTATTGCTGCTGGCTGGCCGACAATCGCCAGCTGGGGCACCTGGGCTGAACTTTGGGAAGCCAATTCCGCCATTATGGGGGAAACCTGCGGATGGAACGGATGGGGCGCGGACGACTCCACTACCGAGATCGCGGACATCAAAACTGCCATTGAAAGTGTTGCCAGTGCCAGCGGTGTTGACGAACGGTTCATTCTAGCGATCGTGATGCAGGAAAGCGAGGGATGCGTCCGCGTGCCCACCACTAACAATGGTGTCGTCAACCCGGGCCTCATGCAGTCGCACGATGGTACTGGCACTTGCGTTGACACTAACCCATGCCCACAGTCCGAGATCACTCAGATGATCGAGGACGGAACTGAGGGCACCTCTTCCGGTAATGGTCTGGAGCAGTACATTGCGGAGGTGCAGGCCTACCTCGACCTTGATATTGCGCCACGAGTCTACTATTCCGCTGCGCGTCTCTACAACAGCGGCTCGATCGACTACTCGAACTTGGATGACGGTCTCGGTAGCACTGATTGCTATGCTTCAGACGTTGCCAACCGTCTGACTGGCTGGGTTCTCGCTTCTAACACTTGCACAGCATAAATATTGGTGTTAGATTGAACACAGAAATCCTGTGCCTACCTAGGTACGTACCATGACTAGGTTAGAGTGCCAGAGCAAGGAATCAGCTTGTCGTCCACCAAGTGTGTATTGACGCTTAATTTGCTTAATTTGCTTGATTTTTTGGTTTGTCTTTGTCTTGTTCTTTGTATATATTTATAAAGCAAAATTTATGATTTAGGTCTACTAAGGTATCTGCAGAAACTAGCCCCGGAGTCAATTAAAGTAAAGTTATATGTTCCTATCCGAAAGTATATCTTTCTAATATGTATTATTCTATTCTATTTCTATAATACATTCCTAGTGCCTCTGGCCATATGTGCTTCTGATTGGTCGAAGTATGCCGAGCCTAGTAAATTTGACAGTGTTCGTTCCACCTCGTCAAATCTAGCAGCTGTAATTTACGCCAGCGGACGATTACTCCTAAGCCGTGTGGATTAAGACCAAATTCGACAGGTGCATGGCCAAATAGCTGACACGTAGTGGCATGGATATAGTGGATTTTCACTGTATAATATATTTGGAGACGGTCAGAGTTAATATGTTATAATCCGGTTTTACTTTATTGCGGAAGCACTGTAGCTATACACAACGTTAGCGAGTAGTCGCTTGGGGTAGCAATCCCTCCTTCTAGCAGTTATTTTTTATTTTATCTTTTTTTTTTTAAATAGATAGATGTATAGTACGACAAGGATTAAGTTAAACTCTTACTCGGAAAAATCCGTACTATGAGCAATCGCCTGCACGTGGTCAATATTTTCCTTCAGGCCATCAACCTTCGACCGCAACACAGCATAACAATCCGACCCCAGTGGCATCCGTAGGTACGAAGAAGTTTCCGAACAGAGCCCCTGCTTCTCCACAGCGTCGAAGATCCGCGCCGCTGCTTTTTCTGGATCACCCCGCTAAGTGCCATCGACCGTATCATACATATTCATGGCTCGGCCTAAAGCTCCCTGCTCATAAGCCGGGTGCAACCCCGCCGCGGGTTTGACGTATGCGGATAGAAAACCAGTCCGGAAACCACCAGGCTCCACGATCATGAGTTTAAAGTTTACCCACCACACGGATTTATCTAGCCCAACCCACCCATCTACGACTACATATCTAGAGTTTCGTCTATTTCATTACTTCACATTCTTCTAAAAATATTACAATGAGCAAGACCTACGGCTCTGTATTCCGCGAGCAAATTTGGTCTTGAGGATTGGTCACTTACTAACCACACACTTTAAGAAAAGTTGCTGAAATCTATTCCTCAGGTCTTTCTGAAAGCTTAGCTGCTGAGCTAGCGGAATTCGGTATTCGAGTTTTCATGACTTCACAACTTTGCGAACACGCAATTTATTTTTTCTTACTTTAACGTGCAAACCACGGAGATATCACACGGACTTAAGAACAGGGTCCGAGAATTCGGAAGTACCTTATCGCCATATGCTGAATTTTCTAGGAACTCATACATTGTTGTTGAAGAAATATCTTCCGATTGCCACGCCCGTCTTATTCACTTCAGCAAGATAATTTCACAAAAGTCTTTCGCCATGGCATCCCGGCTGCCCGACTCCCGCAGGGTTGTTACAGCACATGACGAGTCCAGTTCTGCAATCGTAGCTATTGATGAACAAAAAAAACCAATCGCCCTCGACGACGGAACATATCTGAACCCTCTCTTGTCATCAGACGACATACCTGCGACAAATAGTCAAGATCCTACCCAGACCCAGCCAAATCCAGCCGCAGCATCTAACGGTGGCTCTTCTTTTCGCGCCTATGATTTGCCTCCCAAGTATGAAGGTCCAATGCACCGGTCTGTCACCCTCGATTACATTACAGAGTTTTGCAAGGAGTGGTGGAGCTTACCACGGACGAGGGAGCAACTGTGATTTTGAATGTCAGCGATACTGTTGTACAAAGAGGCACTATGCACAAATGGAGTAACCCATCGAATGACTGGGCTCGATTGATATCCGTAATGGTACAAGCCAACCCAGTGGTCATCGGAGGCCAAAAATTGGAACAGGTCTGGCCCTTCTGAACATATGCCTATTCGATCGACATTATACGGATGTTTACGGTGGCATCAACCACTTCTTCTATCATCAGTTCATCTCTTTAGAAAGTACACAATACCTTATAAAGAATAATTCTTACTTGGCCAATGCTATTATTGAACTTCGTATATTTGATGGTTCGATACACTCGGAGGCAAACCTGCTTTCGAGATCCTTTGTACGGGACAGTTCCGCATTTTGAAGAGCTACATGTTCATATTGAGTATATAACATACATGAGGAAAGGAAGAGAAAGGAAAACAACTAGCTTCTCTTCCTACGTATATTAAGGCAGAATTGCAGTAAGATTGGGCTAGTTGGCGCAGGAGAATATTTGGTGATGGTGGACATGTCCAGTCTTCTAGTACAATTTTCAAGGAAGAGGAGCCTTGTTGAGTGTTTAAATCCTCATACTAGATACTTTATATCAACGAATGTAAACCCACGATCGGGCAATTTTGTTTCATCTAGTCGAAGAAATTGGTGTGATCCCCATAAGGGTGGCTCGTAAATCATGTAGTTTAGGGGTGTTTTTTCTGCATGGCTACTTGTTTATATAAGTGGTTTGGTAATGAGAAATGGAACGATGACTATGCGATCAATATCGTGAGCGGAGGCGAACTGTGTGTGGTAGGTAGGAATACTGTCAAAATATTTCAATTAGAATTAATACTTTCACTTTCAGATACACGTAACCAAGCCCATACCAAAGAAGAGAGAGTTATTTTCCATATTTATCATCAAAAGATATATAAAGCTCTGTGTGCTATACCTACATAGCATAGACATACCAACGACTCGTCGATGATGAAGGAAAGGCCATCCCGTGGCCAGAACTCGAGAAGACACAGACCAGCGCGGCGGCGCAGTCGGTATCTAAGACCGTCTTGTGAAACTGGATAAGGACAATCTACCTGCTTTGCTTTGAGCGAGGTGTGCAGAAGTTGTTTTTGACAATATATTTTGCGATCTGGAGGGTTTAACCCTAAGACGGCATTGTAGTCGGCGTTGGATGTATTGAATGTGAGTTCTATTCTATCTTAGCTGCTTGGACATCAAGGAGTTACTAACTTGCCATCTAGGTTCTTGTGAAGCTAGAGGTGTTGATTGTATAACGCTGTGACAGCGGATGATTACTATACAGAGAACATTATATATGTATCTATATATCCCAAGACTTCTTGCTACTTCCATGTTCAGGTCCAGTAGTAGATCGCATCAAATCCGAAAGTAAAGCCCAGACTGGTCTTCTCGGGCCCAATATTGAGTTATAATTCAACATAAAGATGTATGCACTTGCGTACTTTCCGCATTTCATATATTGTCAATTGCATATGTTCCTACTTCGTAGTTATAGCCCGACTGAGAGTTTCTTTGTTCTACTGCATCCATGCGACTGATATTCAAGCCAATTCGCATTCAATCACGCCCTCTGTCCCCCTATTAGGGGCTTTCCAAATCTTGATGATTTTCAATCCCATTTTTTTCTCCAACAACTCGTGCCAGCCCTTGGTAGTTCGCTCCTCGGATGCGCAGACAGTCATCATTATCATATCCATGCCTGTCTCCTCCCAATACGCTCCAGTGTCTGGAATGATAAATTCACATATTAGCAATCTGCTGTAACCATGAGTCATCGCTCTCATGATCTGGGATATTATGATTTCGCAATCAGACGTGGGCCAATTGTGTAGACACGAGTGGAGAAGATAGGCACGAGCACCTTGACAACCAGTTAACATGATACTAGACAGATGTGAAGGAACAAACGATACCTTTAACTGGCTGCTCAGTGAAAAAATCGTGGCTCATGATTTCGATAGAAGGATCCATCCCTCTGATCTCGCTGACGACCTCCGGTAAATCCTGAAGGATCAGCCGCCCTGGACACTCGGGGAAATATCTCGTAAATTTTATCATATCATGTCCAAGGTTGGCACCAACATCCACCAGGAATGGTTTGCCCCGGTTATTATCAGCGCCTGTAATCAGCCGATCCTTAACAGGGTATATCGTCGGATCCATCCAGGGGAGGCGTCCAAAACTGTAAGCACCTATGTAGTCATTGAAATGTCCGTCATGGTTTACTTCGCGAAGCCATGCGTACACGTCTTTTTTGGTATTGTACGCATACATCAAAGGGGTGTCTTTGGAATCTGTAGGATTCTTCCATCCACGTTCGCGGCAGTATTCGTGGAATTTGAATGGCGCGGCACTCATTTCCGGGATCCTAAAAGGGTATCAGAAAGACAGCGTACTGGGTATATTGCAAACGAAGCTCGTATTTTTCGGTCACTCACAAGGCAAGGTATGCATGCCCGATCTCAGGGAGACTCAGGGCTTTGGTGTAATTTGTCGAACAATACTCATCCTCGCCAATCTCTGTCAGGAAGCCCATTGCCCCAAGATGTCGCATTAAACGGCCGTGATGTGTGTCAATGCATAGACTATCAAATCGAGGAAGGCTGTGATAACTCACGAAGAAGAGCATGATCAATCTTAAGTGCCGAAGCAAGATCATTCACCTTTTGAGGGTTGTCCCCGTTTTCTGTCATTAGTCTCCAAAGTCCGCAATCCACCCCGAATGTGATAGCTGATATTGAGCCAATCTGATGCATGTCAGAACAAAACACAAAGGAGATTTTCTCACGCATTTACCTGTGCCCACAAATGGTTGACCATTGTTTGTCGAGGTGTTTCCAATGCACGAAGCAGAAAACGGCATTTGGTTAGCAGGTCTTCTCTATCCACAGTTCCACCGGACGTGAGTGCATTGACTCCCAGTGTTATATCCTGCAATAGCGCTGGAACAGCCTCGAGTTTGTTTGGCCGCACAGCGATGGAAAGGTTGATAGGGACAGAGTTCTTGGTGATTGAGTCACTCATGATGGCTTTGCTCATTTGTCTTCTTACCCCAGGGCAATTGATGATCGAATTCCTGAATCACGGTCCTTTTCAAGAAGCACCGAGTTCATTATAATGACATTGATATGCTATCTATCATAACATGCTTTTGTTCTTTGTTCCTTTCTTTTTCTTTCTTTGTTTCTCTCTCTTTCATTACGTGGACAAATCATATTCAAAGTAGATATCTTCTCATTTTTTAGGATTCTCTCCAACCCCCAAAGGGCCCATCTGGGCGTATGCCTGTGCTTCATCTCGTCACTGATCTTCGCACTAGCACAACAGGGACACCACTTTTGGGTAAGACAGTTCTAGCTGTGGTTGGCCTCCTGCTCCTCCTGCTCAACAACCAACTGCAAAAAATGTCAAATCAGTGGCCAGACGTAAAAATCTAGAGAAGCTGAGCCTATATTCCACGAATCAATCACTTGATGGTTTTCGCATGATGCCGGCCGTGGAAATGCCGATGATAATGCCGAAAAATCGATCCAAATCAGTTCTGGCAACCGTGGATCGCAGATCTCGGTCTGATCATGAATAATGAATAACCAAACCCCACATCACTGACTCGCCTCAAAGAAGCGCTCAATGTCAAACGCTATAATGAGGGTCGGGGATTGACACAGGCATAAAGGATATGCTCTTGGCAGCAGTAGCTTCACCCCCAGGGTGTAACCCGCCAGGTCAGACCCCAAGATATGGAGTATGTCATGAGTCAAGATATTCATCCTTTCACCACTTTGGACAAAGGTACGGCTTTTCCTTCGCTTGTAGCTGGTTCAAAGCTTCTTACTGGCTTAGAATCCATTTGGCGGTGTATGCCTGACATTGACTATTACATGCGGCGCATTGCAAGAATGGTAAAGCTTCTGGTCGATCTCCCAAGTTTATCCACAGTCGTGGGGGTCTTTTTCTGTTCTCGTAAGTTTTGGATCAAAACACCTGCGCATAATAGATTTGACAGAGAAGTCGGTTTATGAGACTGAAGTCTGATCACTTTCACAGGGTCTTCGGGCGTAGATTACAGCTTATAAGCAAGACATAGCCTCGCTTATACCACCATGTAGTCTCTAAATCAGTTAATACATAATCGATTTGACCAACATATCAGAATACAGTCAATATGGTACCTCTCAATGTCTATGTCAATGCTGCCAGCGTTGCAGTAGGGGCTTATGTTCTATACTTTACCCTAAAGTTCCTCCTCGTCCATCGACGACGCAGTCTTGTGAAACAAAAGCACGGCTGTCTCCCAGCTCCGAAGCTTTACCAAAAAGACCCTTTCCTTGGAACTGATCTTGTCCTCCAGAACCGAAACGCTGGCCGAGAACATCGCTTTCTTGATCTGCTCAAGGCTCGCCATGACAAAGGTGGCCTCACTTATACTACTGACACCTACTTTCGAAGGACAATCAACACATGCGACCCCGATCTTATTCGCAATGTTCTGGCTTTCCAGTTCAATGATTTTGGCATGGGGCCCTTGCGACAGCGAAGCGCCGCTCCGCTTCTCGGGCAGGGCATCTTCACGACGGACCATGAGACCTGGTCACAACAGCGAGCACTAATACGGCCCAGTTTCTATCGTGCGAGGGTGACTAACCTTTCTATCTACAAGAAACATGTGGATCGGCTCATTGCTATAATCAGAGAGGAAAACTGCAAAACTGACCTCCAGCCACTCTTCGTCCGGTTGGTATGTAAATTTCGAGGTACCTTCAATTATGTCAACTCATGACTAATTTGGTGTCTAGACACTTGATACCAACAGTGAATACTTGTTTGGAGAGTCTGTCGGTCTTCTATCCGATCAGCCGTTGAAACATGTAACGAATTTCTATCGTGCACTTAACTATGCCGGAGAAGCAACCATCCAGCGCCTACGTCTCGGCAACTTGATGTGGTTCCACCATGACCGGGAATTCAAAAGATGTTGTGCTATCGTGCATGAATTTGCACAACAGTTTGTAGACAAGGCTCTCGACTTCCGCCGCAGAGAAACCCTTGTGTCCCCTGACGAGAAAGACGTCGCGAGTGGAGAGCGACAAAAATATCTTTTCATCGATGAATTGGCGAAGGCAACAGACAATCCAACAAGACTCCGTGATCATATCGTCAATATGCTCCTTGCTGCTGATACAACTCCGGGTCTCCTCTCATTTGCGTTTTATATGCTCTCGCGAAACGAAGTACTCTGGGAGAAGCTCCGCAATCATGTGCTTGAGCATTACTGCGAACCTCTTACCTACGAGGCGCTGATGAATATGACCTACTTACGACACTTTATACAGGAGTGTGAGTTTTGTATCTGAAACACAAAACCAGCATGAGAAACTGACAAAATACATTCCTCTAGGCCTAAGATTGTTCCCACCAATTGCAACCAATAGTCGAGTGGCCCATAAAGACACTGTTCTTCCAGTCGGTGGTGGCCCAGACGGTAAATCGCCGTTGTTCATAGCCAAGCATAACGTTGTCACATACAGCACCTATGTCATGCATCGACGCAAGGATCTGTTCGGCGAAGATGCTGATGAGTTTCGCCCAGAGCGTTGGGAGAAATTGCTTCCTGGCTGGGAGTACCTTCCCTTTAATGGCGGACCTAGAATGTGCCCTGGTCAGAAGCTGGCTATGACGGAGACCTCATACACCATTGCACGAATTCTGACGACCTTTTCGTCAATCGAAAGTCTCGATAATTCAGAGTGGCAAGAGAAGATTACGCTGTCGCTGAAGTTGAAAAACGGAATTCAATGCCACCTCATATCATAAATTGCTCTCCTCTCCTTCTTTGCCACTAATGACAACCAGACATCTGTCCAGATAACCCAGGAATTGTACATGGTATGCCGGCTGGTCTTCGGACAATTGGTAGCGTGCTAGAGAAGGAAAACGTTTTTTGATTTGACATGGCCTCTTTAAGGCAATCGAATGTGATATCCATTGACTTCGATGGCATTGTATGGAACTTCTATCCAATAGAATATACGAGACCAAGATGAGGGTTACAGTGGTATTACGGACAATCAAAAAGTGCCTCGACATAATGAAAAAGGAAGGAAGATATTTATCAATTGTTTATATTTGAATAAATTAGAAGACACGGCTATACCATAATACATGTCCATGGTATCACAATCGCTTGCTTTACAATATAGTCCCGTTAAATTCCCATCTGGACAACCCAAGTAGTCATTTCGAATCAAACAATACAAGCACGCTGCACACGGGCACAATAGTGACAACGATGTCGCGGCCATTTATAAGCAAATTACCCATCCAACGAACCTCATATTATTCTGTTTCCTCATGGAATGTCCCTGAAATTCAGCGATTCGTTCTCAGGCCACCGAGGTCAAATGCATTATTTTTGTCCCACGAACGCATGTCTTCGCTAAAGACTCAATCCAATACTTATGGAAAATGGAGGCTAGGATAAAGGACTGCCATAATACGGCTTACTGCTATCAGTAAAGGCATTTAGATTAGGTATCGATGGATATAAATCGCTAGTACTACACTAAGAATTTCTATGGCAAAGAAGAGAACGGAACTGTACAGAAAGGCAAACTATTATCAGAACCCTAACTAAATATTTGACTATCTAGTATGACATTATACTATGTCAGTTCTTAATTTCTGCTTGACCCTTCACTATGAGACTAGGGTTCGGACAAAGAATTAAATTCACAGCATACGCTCAGGCAGGACTCCCGGCGATAGAGGATATAGAAGGGTTTCTGTATGAGATTGGATTTATTTCTAAATTCTCTAGCACTGTATCAATTGATGGTGCAGTGTTCTATTAGAGCGGCCGCTCTTAATCACGTCTTCCTCCATCTACAGTGATTACCGCCATATTAAGCGTTCCCATGTGTTGCAGTGGTAGAAAAAACAATATTGGAATATGTTGCTGTATCAAAAAATTGTAAATGTTATGAAAAAAACTACAGAAGCTTTAAGCAAAGAAAGGGAATATATTGAAAAGTAGTGCCATGCAAACCCCGCTGTGAAACAATGACTTTTATGTGCAGAGAAAGGCATCACATTAGCATTGCTCACAAAGGTGAATTTGCCCTTCAAGTCCCTCGATCCTCAGGCATTCCCAACTCATCTACAAGCGACCCAGAAGTAGTGAGATCTACATACTCACACCTGATACTCCACTGATCCGTCCTCTGAATAGCCATGGTAGGATCGGTCCCGTTCGCCAGTCTCACAGGCGACGTAACAGCGAAAGCACTGGCCGAAGTTCCCAGTCCCTCATTCTCGTCCTCAACATCATGGGAGCGTATATTAGATTCCTTTACGCCTCTAGTCATACTAGACAGTGCATACGAGTTCCCATGTGAGGCACCGTAAGATTTACTGTATGCTCCACCAATGCGTTCACGCAGGGAGACGTTGAGCATTCCGCTGTCGAAGGCGTCAAGGAAGGGTTTTAGGCAAGGGATGCATGCAGTCATTAGGCTGACGCAAAGATTGAGCTGAGTTGTGATGCTAGTTGCGAAGGCGTTGGTGTTCATGTCTGTGAGTGATTTGTTGGCTCCGTTCATGAAGATGAGGCGCGCGATAGTTGTGATTATAACACTGGATTGGAGATTAGGTCACGGAGTGGAGGAGGTTGGACATTTGGAATTCAGACATACAAGATGCGGAAGACAAATGCGACTATAACTGTGACCTTTTTGTCGAAGGATATTTGAACCGGTTTGACGATATATATTGGAAGGATGCAGATGACTAGCTCGGTTGCAATGTCGATTGGGGAAATGGCGGCCCAGAAATCGAACTGAATGGATGGTTCGCGTCAGTACGCATGGTTTGTGTGGTTTGTGACTAAAATCCGAACTCACGATCCTGATACAATGTCCATCATCCATATTCCAGGGACTGGAGGTCCCACACTTGAAAGCTAGAGTGAAGAATACTGGAACGGTCCACACGGCGACTAGAAGCGACGACCAGCGGCAGATAGTTTTGTGACGCTTTTCCACACAGAGTTTTTCCAAAAACTGAAATATAGAGACTTTCGCAAGGCTTAAACTGAGAACGTACAAGAGGTCAGATGTGTAGAGGTCCTGCAAGGCATGTAGTGTTAGCAGGCCGTTGAGTGGAAAAGTGGACCGACCATGAGTTACCTTTTCTACTGTGACAAACTGGGCTGCACTCATGTCGGACTGAAGCTTTCCAAGTCCGTGTTGAGTCCCAGTGAACATAATTGCAGATTGAGCCATAGCCAAGCCCTTTTTTCCCCAGATAATTGTTATGTAAGTCCCAACAAGCGTGTCATATTCTGGGATATGCCAAAGCAATCCGTGGTCAAGAACCTACCAGAGCAAGAGAAACCATTCCATCATCACGTTGCAGCGACCGAAGAATATAGTATCGAAATGCCAGTCGTATCCACACGGCCATGATCATCATGACCAAGAGATAGAGGGTTGCAATAGCAATTTCATCTACATGGTCCCCGGTGGTCGAGAGTACCATAGCTATGCTGAGTTTTGTTCACTCGCATTCAGGATTGAGGATGTAATGTATGGAGTTTTAAGAGATTGGTAGGAAGCAGATAATTTACAAGACCCTACAGTTTAAGAAATTAGCCATCAAAGCTACCTGCCTGTCAGGCTATGAATTGAAAACAAAACGAGGGCGAGGTCTAAGGAGCCCTGGTCGTCCTATGGCGTTATTTTGGCACCATGCAGTCCGTATGCCCCTGCAATTAATATTTCTTTCGCCAAACTTGGCACTTTGTCGTAGACTGCTGTCAGAGCTTGCATTGCAGAAGGGGGGCAACCATGGGCTAAGAAGACCCTGGCCATGTACGGATGTGCCATTCCGGCAAACCCATATCAACCATTATAGGCCGGTTTGAGTAGTATGATTTAGGTTAATCTAGAACCTACCCGTGCATTGAGCTCGGGCAGACCCCCAGCTGGCAACAGGGGAGGTGACTAGACCGGATATTACAAAAGACCTGTTATTAATGACCCTACGGAATATTTCGGGTTGTAATGGTGGCGCAACTAACGACCTACTGCAGAGTACTTCTTAGCCTATTTTTATAGACTCGCGGATGCAGACGTGCATTCGGGTTGTATGTACTCTGGTTGACCCTGGTGATTTGCCTAGTATGGTTTTTTATGCAGGGGTCAACTACTAATAGAATTTACCCAATTCTGCTAATTCTACTAACTCTGTTAAGTCTGCTAATTTTATATATTTTTGCTTACTACATTAATATTTAATATAGCTACTTTCAGCAGTAATTATAGCCTTATATCTAGTTTATATAGAATCAATTAAATTCTTAAGAAATTGCTCTGATAAAGCATCTTAAGAAGCTTATATAACCTTATATAATTAATTATAAAAAAGCTACTTATTATTTAAATATTATTTCTAAATTTAATCCTTCATTTAATTCTATATAGCTTTAATTGGATTTAAATCTAGAGAGAAAGCTAGTTAATATATAGAATATGTGACGGGGGTTGCAAGAACGTAGCTGGGATTCGGCTTCGGCCTAGGGATAGATTCGAATATATAACGTATATACACGTATGCTCAATAGTTAATCGCTGCTTCATGAAGGCCTAAGGCCACCTGTGGTTATAAGATGGTGAGTGTTAAGCTACTAGTCTAATTAGTAATGAAAAACTAGATGAGATCATATATTTATTATACTTTAAAGTTATTTCTAACTTTATCTAGGATTCTGTCTTATAGCTATCCCCTTTTTTATAAAGATATATTCTTAAGCCTAAAACTTTATAGACTTATAAGGTTTAATATATAGAATTAATAATTTAAGTTTTATAATAAAATCCTTATTCTTAATGAAAGAATTAAAGATAGATAATAAATATTAAATAGAGAATTAAATATATAAGAAATAATTAAGATTAATACTAGTAATAAGTATATATAAATCCTTATTTTTTTTATTCTAACTTTCTTTTTCTTTCTTTTTTTTTTCTTAGTTTTATCTTCTTCCTTAATAATAAGTATTATCTTAATACTATGCTTTTTTATTAAAATTTTATTAAATATAGATTTAATATATTCTATATTATTAATTTCTTATTTTTTCTATATTAATTTAATACTTAAGATAATAATAAGATAATTTTAATTATCTTATAATTAAGTATAGTAGTTAACTTAAAATACCTAATTCTAATAATTTAAATCTACTTTAGCTATTTTTCTCTTTAAGAGTAGTATCTTAATATTTAAAAAAATATTAATATAATAATAGTTTGCTATTATTAATCTAGATTTATTTTTATATTTAGAGTATCTTATAAAAATATTATCTATATAAATAAATTAGCTATATAAAATAAGTTATAAAATTAAATAAATATTAATATAATTACTAATAATATAAATAAATAAATAATCTGAATCTTTATATATTCTTAAGGATCCTTTAGTTAAGTCTCTTAATATAGTCTCTATTTTTAATGCTGTGTCTAATAACTTCTAGCCTTCTGTATCTCTAAAGAATAAAATAAGTGATAATATTCTATATATAAGATTTTAATACTAATAGAATATAAAAATATATAATTAAGTTTTTATATAAGCTTTTATATTTAACCTATTTTTAATTATAAATTATTTTAAATTCTTATAACTATATTAAATAGTGATATACTTATTATAATACTATAATTTAGTTATATATATATTATTAAATACTTAAGTATAAGTATATCTCTGTAAGTATATATTTATATTTTAATTTAAGCATTTATATTATTAAATATCTCTTATTTTATAACTAATATTAATAATTTATAATATCTTAAATCTTTATTAGACTGTCTAAAGGCTTTAGCTAATAAATTTTATTAAAATTTAGTGATAGAAGATTTTAGTAATTAATATTATATATTAAATAGAGTATTTAAGGCTTTAAACTATATATTTAGAAAATATACTATTAAAATAAACTTTAATACTAAAATTAATAATAAAAGTATAATTTTAACTTAGCTTAGTCTATTTAAAAAGCATTTAATTATAGTAATTTATACTATTTTATTAGAGGAGTTTTATCTTTATTATTCCTATTTTTAGTTAATATATTTAGCTAGTAATTTTGTTAACTTTAATAAAAAAAAAAATCTTCTTTACTTTTCTTTATTAAACTTATTTATAGATAAATATTTATATCTAGATTTTTAAGCTTTTAATCTTATAATTTATTCTTTTAGCTTTTATAATTAATTAGTTAAGCTTTTATTAATTATATAGTATAAGTTCTTTTTGAATCTTATAACTAATAACTCTTATTAATAATTTATAGTATAAAATAAGTCTTATATTTATTCTTAGCTATTATAAATTAAACTTTTTTTTATCTTTTTCTTCCTTACTTTAAGTTATAAATAGTCTTGTAATTTTAAAAATAAATTTTAAATATAGTATAATTATTAATATTCTTTTTAGGTTCTTATGTATAGTTTTTTTTAAGATAGCCTATCTATTTAATAAGATATATTTTATTCTTTTTAAAGCCTTTTTTTATATGAATTTCTTTAACCTTATATTCTCTAATATTATTTATAATAAGATTATTAAGTAGGATTTTGTTTCTAGCTGTATCCTTAAATAATTTTAATAAGAAAATATAGAATACTAGATATAACTATTAATATTATAAAGATATTTTTAGCTTATATATATTTATTTCTCACATATCTAGTATTTAGAAGGGTCTGATAAATTTAAAATTAAATTTTAATTTCTTTCTATCTAGAGGATAGATATTTATAATTTATAATATTATCTTATTATTAATTTAAAACTATATTACTATATATTTTTTATTAAAATATTTAAACTAATTCTTTAATACTTTCTTTAGTAGCTTTTAAAGTTTTTTATATTTAACTTATAATTAGATTGCTTATTTAGTTACTAGTATTTAATCCTTCTTTATCTTTAAGATTTCCTTATTAGAATTTATATCTAGAAGATCCTAATTAATATTAATACAAATATCTCTCTAAAAGCCTATTAGTACTTTAATAGATAATATCTTAATAATACTATATATATTATTATTATATATATATTAAGCTAGCGCTAACCACTATATCCAGTTATCTTATAATAAATTAACATATAATTAAAGGTAATATTCTAATATCTAATTCTATTATTTTATTTAGCTATCAGTTTAAGGATAATAAATTATACTAATTCTTCTTCTTATATCAAGATACTAATAAAATATTTTTTAAAATATAGCTATAAATATTATTACTTAATCGCTTATAATATTCTTAGATATAATAAAATATTTAACCATTAATTTATATATAATCTCTACTAGTTCTTTTACTAACATAATAATAAATATAGATTTATATATAATATATTTTATTAGTAATTCTATAATAACTATAATAATATTATACATTTTTCCCCTCTAATTCAAAGATAAAAGCTTTATTATAAAATCTAAGGTAACTAACTCCTAAAATTTTATAGATTTTAGTAATAGCTTTATTAATCTATATTCTTTATACCATAATATATAATTATATTAGCACTTTATACATATTAAGTAATAATATTGAACTATATCATAAAGCTTTTATTAGAAATACTTTGATAATATTATTTTATATATTCTTTTAATACTAAAATAACTTTTTTATAGGTTATTATAATTAACTTATAGAACTTCTTATCTAAATATATAGTTATACAGCACATATACTATACCTTTAAATCTAAGTAGATCATTAGCTCTAATATATTAATAGAAATAATCTACCTTTGAATTTAGATCTACTATCTATTTTTATATATTCCTAGCTTATATATCTACTTACTAGTAATAATAAATAATAATAGTAAGCTCTTTAGATATATTTAAATAGACTATCTTAGTTATAGTGGCTATTACTATTTTAGACCTTAACATTAAGAGTTCTAGATTTCTTATAATATTAATAATTATTTTTTTTTAATTATTAGATATATTTTAATATTTAGAATTTAAATTATTATTAATTTAAAAAGTCTTTATTACTTTTTCTAGATATATAAGTTCTATATTATTAGAATTATATTTATATTTAAAGAATTCTATTCTTATTAAATAAAGTCTTTAGCTTAATTTTTCTTTTAGTATTAATAATAAGATCTATTAGTTATCTTTAATTTTAATATAATCTAGCCTTTAACTTAATAT